ACTTTTGTACAAGTAGATTAATCCGCATTACATTGTCTACATGGGGCATAACTCCCAACACCCCAACTCAGAATCTGCCATCAAGACTAACCATGAAGTGCTGGCTTCAGTCATTGGAAGGTAAATATGCAATTTTCAGAAATCATATTCTAGTATGTTGTTATTTATCGCTCTTCTGGTAAGGTGAATTGTAGAGTGTGCACGAACTTATTAATAACCAAAACAAGCTGAAATTTTGTTAGCTGAAATGTCATATCCTATCCAGTACTGTGGTCTCTGTACCAAACAAGAAACTAAAATGCCAGTGAATTTGTTTTCACCCATGATGGAGTACAAGATGCAGCACTTCACCATTATACAAATACTTTCAGAGGCTTCTCTGCTATGCTAACACCAGATCAAGCTGCAAAGCTTGAAGGTACCCTCTGATAACTCGATGGTCTAATAACACGTGCAAGCAGATGTGCGATAAACCTGTTTGCCAAAGGAACTGCTTGTGGTTGTGCTACTAGTAAATACATTAAACATGCTAAAATTAAACTTATATGGTATGATTGAAGATCAATCAAATTACAAGACTTCATATAGGTGTCCCTTTACCAAGACAGTGATGATGATTCTGTATTGTCTAAAAACCCCATATACAACCTCATTACAGTTCATGACATCTGTCAATTTTCAGATATAACCTAGGTTGCTATTCTTTCAAGTACAATTACTCAAAATATACAGGAATAATAAGAAAACAAGTAGCATACTCTAGTTGTGATTGTTTCATTGATTGCAGAGCACGATTCAGCTCTGTCCGTGTTTGAAAGCAAGACAAACAAGATCCACACGACACACTCGTGGGAATTTCTGGGCTTAAACAAATTGCAACGAAATAATCAACTATCAACGTACTCAACATGACATGATTGTTGGTGTCATTGACACTGGTAAAGTCGATATTTAATATTGTTTGAACCTTCTAATGCTCTTGAATCAACCACCATAAAATCACACCACCAATTATCTTACCTCCAGGAATTTGGCCTGAATCGAAGAGCTTCAACGGCTACGGATTAGGACCTGTGCCCGCAAAATTCAAGGGGGAATGCTCAGCTGAAGAGAATTTCACATTGTCCAACTGCAACAGGTAGCCATCACTGTATAACCGCATGATATATGATAAGCACACTTCAGAAAAGTTGATATGCTACTGTCTGAATTCATTTTCAGAAAAATTGTGGGAGCCAGATTTTATTCAACAGGGTTTGAAGCAGAAAATGGTCCTCTAGAATCATTTGGTCTTACATTTTTCCGATCTGCACGAGATAGTGATGGGCACGGAACCCATACTGCCTCCACTATTGCAGGAGCACCAGTTGACAATGTTAACTTATTTGGAGTAGGGACAGGCACTGCAAGTGGAGGTGCAATAAGTGCTCCACTTGCAATCTACAAGGCTTGCTAGTTCAATCTCTGTAGTGATGCAGACGTTCTTGCTGCTTTAGACGATGCTACTAATGATGGAGTCGATATTATATCCATGTCCCTTGGACCAGATCCGCCCCCCAACCTATCTATTTTGAGAATGCAATTTCAAATGGAAGTTTCCACGCGTTTCAAAAAGGAATTGTGATTTCTGCATCAGCCGGGAACAGTTTTTTTCCAAGTACTGCAACTAATATTGCTCCTTGGATCCTAACTGTTGCAGCAAGCTTCATGGACCGTGAAATTCAGACTAATATCTAACTAGGAAATTCAAAAGTCACAAAGGTAATTGATTGATAATAATTTACTTTATTCACCTAATTCAAACAAAGATTTCTGTTACTGATTTAAATGGTCCATATGTTTAGGGCTTCAGTATACATCCACAAAACAAGGAGAGCTTTTACGGTTTGATAGCAGGGAGCATGGCATTGGTTCCTGGAGTTACCCCAAAAAATGCTAGGTACCTTTTTTTTTTAAAGAAAACTTTGGCTTCACTCTCGATACATGCATACTCAAGGAATATCATCATCCCTGCCAAAACTTTTTACATGCCTCTCTTAATCATGTCTGAAGTATGACATGTCCTCCGGTCCTTTAATAGGACTTTACACGCTCACTAATTCCATTAATTATTTACTTGTTCTGAAATTTCTATGTTTTTGTATCTTTCCCTTTCAGTNAGCAAAAAAAAAAAAAAACTTAGCCGAGCCAAGCTGAGCTGAGCCGAGCCGAGCCGAGCCGAGCCGGCTCCTTATGAATAGTGCTTAGGAATAGTGGCTATGAATAGTGAAAACTTCCTTCACTCTTTTAATATAGGTAGAAAAAGACATTTTTTGGCTGTCAAAAATAGATCGAGTACTTTTTTACTTTTTGCACTATCAAGATCGAGTATCTGATTTGAGGTCGAGAAATAACTTTTTAGTTTTAACTGAACCGTGGTGTGCACTCTCCATTTGAGTTCCATTTGTGTCAATTTCTATAGTTTTTTAATGGGCAAATTTGTTATTATGTGCCTGTAAGAAGAATTGGTCCTATCTTTGTCAGGATTCAGCCATCTTTTTATGCAATAACAGTAAATGGGGGCACAAAAGAATTGGTCTTTCGTGTGTTACTCTTCAGCCAATTAACTCAAATTTCAACTAGTAGCTATACGAATTTTAATGAAAAAAATAAATAAATAATGAAGAGAAGGTAATTGTTGAAATGTGACCTTCAATTAAGAATTCATTCTCTAAATTTAGAGTTAATAATATGAACTTTGGTCATTTCCTTTAGTTCAACCGGAATATTTAGGTTCATTTGGCAAGACTTTTGACAAGTCTAAAGCTGCCATTAATATTAAGAAACTGATTTTGAACATGTTTAGATAATTTTCCAAAAAGTATTTTGTGTGATTTCACTTTTCTACAAGAAGCAGAAGCCCCACCAAACGAGCCCTTATATATTGTAAATTTTATATAATGTGGATTGTATGTATCTACTTTCGACTCTACTCCAACAATTTCCACTTCAGAGGAAAAAAAGAGCACAATATACTATCTATACTCATTTAATACTACATGCTAAACATCAGCTCGTTGTACATTAACATGCCTTTATTTAAATAAAATTAACTCCATAAACAAGATTATAATCCAGATAATATCTCATATTCCATAATCCAAATGGAAATGAATGATAAGTAGGGTACAAACAGAAGCCGGCTTAAAAATTCCAAGCCAAAAACAGTCAAAACAACAAACTGATGCTTATGTACTTTTACTAAGCCGGCTTAATATCACTATTCAGTACACTAAACTCAAATTTTGTCTATAAAAACCCATATAATTAGCAGTTTCTAATATGCCTTTTTTCATTAATCATTTTTTTTTCTTGGCAACATGAAATTGTGAAACTTTTTTCTCTGATTTTGTTGTTTAGATTTGCATTAGTACATGGAGCCACCCACAATACAAAGGTACTGCATGCATTAGCCTATGTAAAATTTAGTTCGAGTATATTATCTTATACTTGAGTAGAGTAAAAGATCCGTACACATGCTATGATTTTGTAGCTACGTAAATTGTCTTATACTTGAGTCGAGTAGAAACTCAACACATACAATAATTTGATATCTATAGATCGATAGAGTGTTTGGTACATGAATTATGTTGTACTAGATAGTACTTAAAAAAGAAAAACCGTTCATTATACTGTCCAATCTTATCTACTATTGTACCCGATATAACAAATTATCCTTCAAAGTTAAAGTACTAAAATTTCTTGTGCATGCTTATTAGTAAGGTGGATAATCTTGATTTTTCACAATCTTGCAGCGTTACATTGTCTACACGGGGCATAACTCCCAACACCCCAACTCAGAATCTGCCATCAAGACTAACCATGAGGTGCTGGCTTCAGTCATTGGAAGGTAAATATGCAATTTTCAGAAATCATATTCTAGTATGTTGTTATTTATCGCTCATCTGGCAAGGTGAATTGTAGAGTGTGCACGAACTTATTAACAACCAAAACAAGCTGAAATTTTGTTAGCTGAAATGTCATATCCTATCCAGTACTGTGGTCTGTGTAACAAACAAGAAACTAAAATGCCAGTTAATTTGTTTTCAGCCATGATGGAGTACAAGATGCAGCACTTCACCATTATACAAAAACTTTCAGAGGCTTCTCTGCTATGGTAACACCAGATCAAGCTGCAAAACATGCAGGTACCCTCTGATAACTCGATGGTCTAATAACATGTGCAAGCAGATGTGCGATAAACCTGTTTGCCAAAGGAACTGCTTGTGGTTGTGGTACTGGTAAATACACTAACATGCTAAAATTAAACTTATCTGGTATGATTGAAGATCAATCAAATTACAATTCTTCCTATAGGTGTCCATTTACCAAGACAGTGATAATGACTCTGTATTGTCTAAAAACCCCCATATACAACCTCATTACAGTTCGTGACATCCGTCAATTTTCAGATATAACCTAGGTTGCTATTCTTTCAAGTACAATTACTCAAAATATACAGGAATAATAAGAAAACAAGTAGCCTATTCTAGTTTTGATTGTTTCATTGATTGCAGAGCACGATTTAGTTCTGTCCGTGTTTGAAAGCAAGACAAACAAGATCCACACGACACACTCGTGGGAATTTCTGGGCTTAAACAGATTGCAACGAAATAATCAACTATCAACGTTCTCAACATGACATAATTGTTGGTGTCATTGACACTGGTAAAGTCGATATTTAATATTGTTTGAACTTTCTAATGCTCTTGAATCAACCACCATAAAATCACACCTCCAATTATCTTACCTCCAGGAATTTGGCCTGAATCGAAGAGCTTCAACGGCTATGCCTGCAAAATTCAAGGGCGAATGCTCAGCTGAAGAGAATTTCCCATTGTCCAACTGCAACAGGTAGAAATCACAGCATAACCGCATGACATATGATAAGCACACTTCAGAAAAGTTGATATGCTACTGTCTGAATTCATTTTCTGAAAGATTGTGGGAGCCAGATTTTATTCAACAGGGTTTGAAGCAGAAAATGGTCCTCTAGAATCATTTGGTCTTACATTTTTCCGATCTGCAGGAGATAGTGATGGGCACGGAACCCATACTGCCTCCACTATTGCGGGCGCACCAGTTGACAATGTTAACTTATTTGGAGTAGGGACAGTGCTCCACTTGCAATCTACAAGGCTTGCTGGTTCAATCTCTGTAGTGATGCAGACGTTCTTGCTGCTTTAGATGATGCTACTAATGATGGAGTCGATATTATATCCATGTCCCTTGGACCAGATCCACCCCAACCTATCTATTTTGAGAATCCAATTTCAATTGGAAATTTCTATGCTTTTCAAAAAGGAATTGTGATTTCTGCATCAGCCGGGAGCAGTTTTTTCACAAGTACTGCAACTAATATTGCTCCTTGGATCCTAACTGTTGCAGCAAGCTTCATGGACCGTGAAATTCAGACTAATATCTAACTAGGAAATTCAAGAGTCATAAAGGTAATTGATTGATAATAATTTACTTTATTCACCTAATTCAAACAAAGATTTCTGTTACTCATTTACAAGGTCCATATGTTTAGGGCTTCAGTATAAATCCACAAAACAAGGAGAGCTTTTACGGTTTGATAGCAGGGAGCATGGCATTGGCTCCTGGAGTTACCCCAAAAAATGCTAGGTACCTTCTTTTTTTTTTTTTAAAAAGAAAACTTTGGAAGAAAACTTTGGCTTCACTCTCGATACATGCATACTCATGGAATATCATCATCACTGCCAAAACTTTTTACATGCCCCTCTTAATCATGTCTGAAGTATGAGGTGTCCTCCGGTCCTTTAATAGGACTTTACACGCTCACTAATTCCATTAATTATTTACTTCTTGTGAAATTTCTCTGTTTTTGTATCTTTCCCTTTCAGTTTCTGTAAGAACAATACCTTAGATCCCAACTTGATTAAGGGGAAGATTGTTGTCTGCACACTTGAGATACTCACTGATAACCGCAGGGAGAAGGGCATTATTGTAAAACAAGGTGGTGGTGTAGGGATAATACTCGTCGATCCACTTGCCAAAGATATCGAAATTCAGTTTGTACTACCAGGTACCTTGATAGGTCAAGAAGAAGGAGCAGAGCTGCAAGCATACATGACTGCACAGAAGTAAGTTGAATTTTTATCCAGTGGCCAGAATATACTTAAAAACAAGTTAGTAAAACAACAAACATTTGTTTGTTTTTTCATCTTGTCCATACCACAAATTCTACCAGATTAAAGCATATATTAGTTGCGTGAGAATCTAACACATCTAATACACTTAACATTAACTTAAAGAAAATTCAGCCCGGGCAAAGATTAGTAATTATAAAGTTTATATATAACTCAGAAATACTAACATATAATTTTTAAGTAAATATTTAACTTTTTTAAGTTAAATATCAATTTATATGTACAAATGAGTAAAATATCACTTATAAATAAAAACTTTCATATAAAAAATCGTAAATTCAAAATTTCACCAAGAGATGTGTATAACTTTATTTTTTTTAAAGAAAAACTTTTAAATAATATTTCCAACTATATTAATTACCTCTTTTAATACGTTTGAAAATGGAAAAAAGCATGGGTGAAATTTAATATTGACAAACACACTAATATACCATGTCAAAATAACTGCAATTAGAGTAGCCATTCAAGTCATTGGTAGAATTCAGATGTGGAAAGAGAAGTAATTCAACAAGAAGATTATAAGTTTTCAATTCTATGCATAAGTCCACTTCCAACAATATTCGATTCAAATGGATGGAGTATGGCATCAATATAAATAAAAGGGTGTCAAACTCTAGTCTTTATTCCTCCCTCTTCTGCTTCTTATCCACCTCCGCAAAGTCAGGCTGTGGGGACTGGACCCTATTTTTCACAATCAAATAACCCTCTAATAGCGCCATTCCCGAGCCAAAAATGAGAGCCGAGCGTGAAGCCGGGCCAAGGCCTCGGCATCGGCGCATCTTGAGTAATCCGGCGGCAGCGGCATCAGAGAGGATGGAATTCCATGGATCATCCTTCTGCCTTACATGTATCATAGAACTCTCCAAGACAGATGAAAGACCACCGAAGGCGGCACAGCGGCTGCCAAAGCGGGGGGCGTTCATGCGTACAGCTTGTAAGCCCCGGATGAGGCGCTCACCTTTTGGGGAGTTGTACATGCCTTTCAACATGTTGAAAGCCGACCCGCCAACGATTCCAAAGCGGAAATAATCGACAGTCTGATCCAGTAGGCGATCGAACCATGGTTTGTCACATACCATTCTTGATTCTACATTCAATTAACTCTAATCAATTTGCATATAAATAACTACCAAACTAACTCAAATTTAAACTTCAGAAAATAACACAAAATTGGTTCCAGCGAAAAAAAAAACTTTTCATATATTTTAATGTCGAAAATTTGAAATTCACCAAAAAAAAAAAAACCTTAAATTCCATACTTAGATGTTCTTCTTCCGTCTAATTTGACTTGAAATTGAAGATTTGGATTCCACGGATTGCTGAAGCTTGGAGGGGTTTTCAAAAAGATGGTGAAATTAAATAAACAATCAGAAACTATTTATAATATGCACCTGACTTGTTATGAAAGAGACGATTTTACTAGGAAATGGAAA